CCTTTTGTTCCACACTGTGACCGGACCCCGCAGTCACACATCCTGGAAGGCAACCAGCGCCCTGGCCCGGGCAGTCTCACCACTACCACACAGTTCTTCATGGGCCAGGTGAGCGCCTGGTAGGGAGGGGAGGGAGCCAGCCGCAGGTGCAAAGGCCCTGGGGTGGAGTAAGTTTGGTAGGTCTGCCGGAAGCTCCTCGGTCTAGTTCAGGGCCCCAGGCCTCAGTGGGTCTGACTAACAGAAGACAGTTAACACGGAGCTCCTGGCCGCCATATGGTCCCACAGCCACCGCCCCTGGGCCGGCCGGCTCACCGCCACTTGGACCATGAGAAACTGCAGGACCATGTGACTCTCCGGGAGAAGTCGCTGCTCGGACACTTCTTCCAGACCTCCATGAGCACTGACTATCCAGCCGTGGAGGTCCAGCGGCCTGTGAAGACTGTCAACCTACACCTGCTACCCAGTGCCCTGTTCAAGGACCGGGTTGGTGAGCTCTGCCCCGCCCACTACCTGACTCTGACCCCGCCTCCTGCAGGTGCAGATCCCCTCGTGAATCTATGAGGCTCCCTACTCCGTATCTATAAGGACCCCTAGCCTGGTAGCATTGTGGGTTCCGCGTCTAGGTTGCTAACCCCAAAGGCCGGCAGTTCAAAGCCACCAGCAGCTGTGCTGAAGAAAGATGAGGCTTTCTACTCCCATAAAGATGCACAGCCTTGGAAACCCACAAGGGTTTCTGTACTCTGTAGAGTGGGTAGCTTTGACTTGAGTTCGCTCCTGCCCGCACCCCTGGCACTACTCCAGGAACCTTCTTACCCTTAGACTGGCAGGGACCCCCACCCCCCCCTCATCCCTGCTGGGTTCCCTTCCACCCTCAGCTCAGCCGCCTCCCCTTCCCGCCACATGTCCAGAACCAAATTTTGCAACCACGAACCGGAGGATGCTCGTGCCGCACAGAGCAGACCAGGTCCACGCGACGGAGGAGCAGCTGCAACAGGTGAGAGAGGGTGAGGGCATGCTCCTGGTCCGATCAATCCCCAGTCAGGGCAGAGGTCCCAGGGTTACCGGGCCTCCCCCAGACTCGGAGGCGGTGCAGGGCCAGCTCAGGGCCACCCCAGGCCCAGGGTCAAATATCTTCATGTCATCCCAGCCAGCCCAGCAGCCACACGCCAAGCTCACAGCCATCCAGTCGATTCCGACATAACAGACCCTGTAGGACAGCCTGGGTGTGCAGGCACTCTGGGCTGGCCTGGGGGGGTCAACAGCCCTGCAGGCTGCTGGCCAGGCTGCCCACTTTGTCTCCACAGTGCAAGGACAGCCACATCGAACCCCCCCTGGGTGGGCAGCGCTGCTTCTCCACTTCCTACAAGGAGCAGTTTCCCTCCAAGTACCAGGGCCCGGTGACGCTGACCAGGGGCTCCTCCCAGGAGAGTCACGTGTTCCTGAGCATGCCTCTCCAGTCAGGCTGCCAGGCAAGGAAGGACCCTCGGGCCCCCCAGATGCCCATCTATCCTTGCCCCAGCCAGCAATAAATGCTGCCTTGGCCACACCCCAGATCGCTACATGATCCTCTCCATCACCCCGTCATTGAAGCAGGGGCTGAGGGGGACCGGGACTGCACAGGCAGGGAGGTCACCCCCGTTGGCATGGGGAGGTCAGCCTAACCAGGGTTCAGAGGGAGGCCTCCTTGGAAGGTGGAAGATGGCAAAGACCAGCCCCGCTGGGCATAGGGAAGAAAAGCCACAAGCTGGACAGAAGCCGTGGGAGCAGGGTGTGAGAAGGCTGGCTCCTCAGGGTGGTGGAGGGTGGGGGTGGAGGTGGTTTGGGAACTGTCCAGCACTTTCTGACTCAGAGTGCTCTGAGGTGACAGAAGAGAAGTCCCTGCAGGGGCGGCGGCGAATCACTTCATGTGGCACCTGTAGCCAGAGTCGGTGACTCCCACCAAGCCACCTTTTCCTGCCTGGGCCTGGGTACGCAGGTGCGGGAGACGCTGACAGGATCCACCTGAGTGCTTGTGAACAGGACTCATGGGGCTGGACATCCTGGTGGGTATCAAACAAGCCCTCTGAGAAGCAGGAGGGGTCATTTCACTACCAGCCAGAACCAGGAGGTGGCACGAGTCCTCCAGACCCCCAGACCCCTGTGCAGTGAGCCTCCTGGATCCAGCAGACAGCTGTGATGCCAGAGCAGCAGCAGCAGCAGAACCAGGAGTCGGAGCGTGAGACAGAGCTTGGGACTTCCTAGTGCTCAGAGCAAGGAAAGCTGAGTGCTTTAGGCAGGAGGGCGGCTTGTGGAGTGGGGTGTCTCTGGGTACTTAATTGGGGGAGCTGGGCTTACTGACCCATGGAGGTGGACCTCAGTACCTTCTGGCTGAGGCTGACTGGATTGGGGTGCCTCTGGGCACAGAATTCCAAGGAGCTCACAGAGCTAGAGCCGAATCCCTTCGGGTGGAGGTTTCCAGTAGAGTGGCATGCCCTTTGGGCACAAATCAGCAGCCCTAAAGGAACGCTGTAACATGTTCTGAGTGAAAAACCCTCCCCTGAGTGTTTCCAGCTGTATTGTAATCTGCTCACTTCTTTAATAAACCTTTTAATCGTTGCTCTTGTCTCAGGGTCTTCTGTCAACTTGAGCGAAGGGGTGGAGTCTAGCCAGTCAATCAGGCCAGAGCCAGTGAAGCCTCTGTGTGGGCATGGCCTTCTCCTGGGGATTCTGGGAACTCCTCTCTTCCTCCATGGAGGTGGGACACACAATCTCTCTGCTTCACACACCTGTTGACAAGCCACGTGGCCTTATACTGATGGCAGTCAGACCTTGAAGCTTGAGGAGCCACTTGGAGACTTGTGCCACTGCTGAGAAGCTTCCACCGCCACTAGATCCACAAGACTTTCCACCCACTAGCCAGTGATCTTCCTGCACTCGGCGTCATTGTATGTGTTGTGTGAGTCTGAAGAGGAATTTATTGACTGGTATCGGACATATGGGCTAATATCGGATTTATGGACTTGATCTGCACTGGGCTGGGATGTTTTCTTAATATACAATTACTCTTTGATAAAAAGTTCTCTCTTACACATCCATGAGTGTCTCTGGATTTGTTTTTCTAGTCTACCTGGATATGAATTGTCTACAGCATATTCTAGTCTACAGCATATGAACTGTAGAACCTGGATGAACTTATTTGAGTGTTGTGGGGGAAAGGAGGGCCCCCAACACATCATCACTGGTCCGGTAGGCACAATTGTACGGCGACAATAAGTAACGATTACAGTGAAGTCATGGAGCGCATGAGAGATAGACGAGAGATTGAAGTCATGGAGTCAGACTCGATTCATGGTGGCCTGCTCACCACAGCCCTGCTTGGTGGTCCTCGTGGGGAGACGCCGAGAGTGAGAGCCCGGTCCAGCTTTATTGTTAACCAAGGCTTCTCACTTTTTGAGGGTGGGATTACAGGTAACCACACGTCACAGGAAGGGGCAGTACAATAGGCATACACATCATAGGAAGAGGATGTACAATGAGCATAAGCGTGACAGGAGGGGATGAGCTAAGGGTGTGCACATAGGAATGGGAGGGGCTAGAAGTATACATGTGATGGGAGAACCCTAGATTCATGATGGCGGCCTAACCTTGGTCACCCTCTGGGGTCTCCTACAAGGAAACAGTCAACTACTATCCTTATCAGAAGGGAGTGGGTCCTACTTGTTGCGGGATAAACAGTGGTGACTGCTTGCTCTAGATGACTGATAACCCTTAGGGAGAATAACCCCTGACCTACTTCTGTTGACCTTCAAGTGCATAGTCATTCGCCACTTGTAGTAAGCAACTAAGTTTGGCATATATTTGGGGGAGACAACTTGGGAGAGATCCTTTTGTTTCCCACAGAGTGTTGTTGCAACAGAACACACCTCCCCAAGGTGGTCCTGGCTGTGCTGTTTACAGCAGCCAATCACCAGGGGAGCCCCTGGGTGGGCTCAAACAGCAACTTTTAGGTGGGCAGCCAAGTGCTTAACCTTTGTGCCACTAGGGCCCCTGGAACGTGAATGGACAGGCTTCAAATCCCGAATCCTCTGTACTCTGGGCAGGAACCTCGAGCAAGACCCCGGAGCCTCAGTCTACCCCTCTGTGAAAGGAGGAGCGCGTACTATAAAGTCTGCCCCCGACGCGTGGCGCCCCTGTGGACAGTGGATCCAATGGCTGTGATCCATGGACTGATTTTCAGAAACAGATGGTCAGACCTTTCTTTCTCGTCGCCCTTAGTCTGGGCTCTCCAAGGGACCTTGTTCAAGCATCGTGGCCACACGCAAGCCTTCTCCGGTAGGCCAGGACTCAAACCCAGGTCTTCCACCTGAAAGGTAAGTGTTGGACCACAGAGTACAACCATGCCCGCTCACTTACCAGGGGTTACGGATTGGTGTGATGGCGGTCAGGGAGGGGCATGCCCTCTCTGAGGATGAAGGGGTGGAGGGGGATGAAGACAAGGTGATTGGGGGTGGGGGCCCAGCAAGGAAACTGGAAATTGCTGGAAGGTCTTGAAGTTGTCCTAGAAACCTTGGTGGCTCCTAGGTTACACGTTGGACTGCAAACCACAAAGTCAGCAGTTCGAAACCACTAGCCACTCTGCGGGAGAAAGATGAGGCGTTCTTCTCCCATAAGCAAACACAGTCCCCAGAGTCTCTAGCGTGTTTCTGACCTACAGGGTCACTATGAGTCCAAATTGACTCAGTGGCCATGAGTTGCGCTTGTTTGGGGTTTCTCAATTGGAGTTGTCAATTTCATCCTGCCCGAATCAATCAATCATTACTCATGGAAGGAGGCATTGCCTTGGGCAGCGTTGCCACACAAGAGCCCTTTTGAGTGTGGAACAACAAGGGTGTCACTTTGAGGACTAAGGCGCCCCTGACCTGACCCGAGCACGATACGTTCAGTCATCTCACACGCATGCCACGGTTGAACAATGAAGACGGAAGAAGAATCGGTGTCCTTGAATGATGGTGTTGGCAAGCAAGAGCGAAACGTACTGCCAGAAGAACAAATCCATCGGTCTTGAAAGAAGTACAGCCAGATTGCCCCATCGCAAAGAGGGTGCTGAGACATCATCTCACGTCCTTTGGGTGTTGGGCGAGGCAAGTCCCTGGGGAGGTCATCCCGTGTGGTGTATAGGAGAGGGGCAGCAAGAAAGAGGAAGACAGATCGACAACCTGGCTGCAGCAACACACAAGCATAACAAAGGAGAGGGTGGCACAGGCCCGGGCAGTGTCTCATTCTGTCCTGCACCGGGCCCTCAGGAGCCGGAACTGACGTGCTGGCACCTGACGACAACGTTACGACACAGGAGAGTTCTGCTGGCTGCTAACTACAGGGCGGTGACGGTCCCACCACCTCCGAGGCTCTGTGGGGAAAAAGACCTGGTGATGTTCCCCCATAGAGATGAAAAACTCAACAACAACCACAACAACAAACAAGCGGCACTGCTAGCAAGTCCATTGGAAAGCCAGAGGGGGTGATTCTACTCTGCCCTGTAAGGTCGCTGTGAGTCGGAATCGGCCTGATGGCACACCTACATGGCAAGATCTGAGGGTGCAGGTTTCGAATCAGGAACAGGACAGCAGAAACTGAAGGAAGAGGGTGGAGTAGGTTCCTGAAGCCTGTGCTTGATAAGGCTTAGCATGCTTATAGAGCCTGGTGGTCTAGTGGTTACGTATTGGGCTGCAATCCACATGCTCAGCAGTTCAAAACCACCAGAAGCCCCGAGGGAGAAAGACTGGGCTTTCTACTCCCGGGAACAGTTACTGTCTTAAAAAACCCCAGCATCACCTCGATGGCAGTGAGTGAGTAAGCCCCTGATGGAGCAGTAAGTACCTTGGACAGTGCCCCACATTCAAGGCATGGCCTCCGAAGCGCTGGGCACCAAGAATCCAGTTCTACCTGGGATAGCCTGGATGGCCGGACCCAGGACCCAGTGTTCCAGTTGCAGAGATTAAACATGACTTGGTGGTTTTCATTTTCTGGCCCTGGAGTAAAACCCTGAAAGATCAAGATTCCTAACCCAACAGGAACTAGAAGTCAAGACAACGCCCAACCCAGAGCCTTTCTCCGTAGATGGAAGGCCAGGCTGCCATTTCCACAGGAAGAAGCCCAGCTGTCGCTTCTGCGGGGATGAGGTGGCCCTCCTGGCTCTGTCCACGTCTGCTGACTGCAGACCCCTCCCTCTTCTGCTTGCTTCCTCTCTAGAGGAATGTGCACACCACACATGCAGGGGGTTCTCTGTCTCAGGTCTATGGGAAACAGAGGATTTCTCCCAAGTTGTCTCCCCCAAATATATGCCAGACTTAGCTGCTTGAGAATGACTGTACACTTGGAGGTCATCAGGAGTGGATTAGGGGTCATTCTCCCTGAGAGTTATCAGCTGTCTAGAGCAAGCAGACACCATGGTTTATCCCACAAGTAGGGCCCACTCCCTTCTGATAAGGATAGTAGTTGTCTGTTTCCTTGTAGGAGACACCAGAGAGGTCAAACCCACCCAAGGATGACCAAGCTTAGGCTGCCATCATGAATCTAGGGTCCGCCCA